TTTGCTGTTGGTTTTTCTTTATTATTTTGTTTTGTTATATTAGCTGTTATTGATTTTTTATTGTCTTCTTTTTTTGTTATGTTTTGCTTGGCTTTGTTTTTGCACATATTACTGTCTATGCATGTCTATCTGGACAAGATAGGTGGGATGAACAATCCAGAGGAGACAACCATGGGGCCTATGGTTCCTGAGGGACACAGGAGAAAAGGAGATGGGAAGAAAGGGGGGGGGGGTGCCAACAAACCCAGGGACAAGGGAAGAATAAGTGATCTAAAATTGATGGCGAGGAGGGCACAAGGAGCTTGGGGGTGGGGGGGCTTGATCAAGGGCAATGTAGCCGAGAGGAATTACCAAAACCCAAATGAAGACAAAACATGATAGTGGGATGGGAGGAAAGTAAAAGGAAATAGAGGAAAGAACTGGGAGGCATAGGACATTTATAGAGGTCTAAATGCAGGCACGTATATATGTAAATGCATTTATTTACAGTAAAAGGGGAATAGAGCTATGTACATATATTTATTTATAAAGTATTATGGTAGCAAATGGACATTGGGCCTCCACTCAAGTACTCCCTCAACATAAGAACACTTTGTCCTACTGACACAGCACTCTGGGATGTTCACCTTCCCTGACACGATCACTGAAGACAAAATGCATGCATAAGCAGATGTGGTGAAGAAAGCTGATGGTCCTCGGCTATCAAAAGATATAGCATCTGGGGTCTTAAAGGCTTGAAGGTAAACAAGCGGCCATCTAGCTCAGAAGCAACAAAGCCCACATGGAAGAAGCACACCAGCCTGTGTGATCATGAGGTGTTGATGGGATCAGGTATCAGGCATCAAAGACTCAAAACAAAACAAACAAACAAAAAGCATATCTATGTGAATGAGGGGGTGTGCTGAGTGGAGACCTAAAGCCCATCAGTAGGGCCACAAGGAAAAGAAGAGCCAGTCAGGGTGCAGTATAGCATCAACGAAACACACAATCTTCCTCTAGTTCTTTAATGCTTCCTCCCCATCCCCCCCACTACCATCACCCCAATTCCGTCTTATAAATCAGTCTAGACCAGAACATGTACACTGGTACAAATAAGAGCTCAAAATACAGGGAATCCAGAGCAGGTAAACTCCTCAGGACCAATAAGGGGAGCAGCAACACAAGGAGGGTAAGGGGGCGGGATGTCAGGGGGAATCGATCACAATGATCGACATATGGCCCCTCTCCCAGGGGGATGGACAGCAGAAAAGTGGGTGAAATCAGACAGTGGTCAGTGTAAGACATGAAAACAACAAACAAAGTATAATTTATAAGTTATCAAGGGAACATGGGGGAGGGAAGGTGGGTGGAGGTGGAAATGAAGAGCTGATGCCAGCGACTCAAGTAGAAAGAAAATGGTTTGGCAAAGATGATGACAACAGACGTACAGATGTGTTTGACACAATGGATATATGTATGGATTGTGATAAGAGCTGTAACAGTCCCCAATAAAACAAAACTACAAAGTCTAACATTGTGAGGAAATCACAATACTTACCATGTATTACACAACCCAGTGGAGCCCAAGGGGGCTCCATTAAACTGCCCAATGGAGCCCTACAGTCGATTAGGTCCTGCACTACTAAGTATAAAATCAGCAGTTCAAACCCACCTGCCACTTTGCATGAGGAAAACAAGATTTTCTGCTCCTATAAACAGTTATAACCTTAGAAACCCACAGGGGGCGTTCTACTCTGTAGTGTAGGGCTGCTATGAGTCCATATAGATGTAATGACAGTGAGTTTGGTTTTGGACACCACTTAAAAGGTACACCGGTGGCACAGTGGATAAAACAGTGGGCTGCTAACCAAAAAGGGCATTGTTGGGATGCATTAGCCTCTCAGCAGGATAAAGATACAGCCACCAGCATCCCTAAAGATCATAGCCTTGGAAACCCTCCAGGGCAGTTCCACACTGCTCTATGGATCGCTGGGTCCAGAAGAGACCCAATGGCAAGAGGTATACAACCCAAAGTAGAAACCCTCAGAGATACCACCCAGGCAAGAGCTACAGGGACTCTGTGTATTCTTTCCATCTTCTTTGGATGTTTCATGCACCACTCAATATCTCATCCATACCAACAGAATCAAAATCAAACACACAGTCGCTGAGCCCAGTCTGACCCCCTAAAGAACAGAGCAGAATTGCCCGGTTTGAGGTTTTAGGGCTGTAATTTCTTTTTGCCTCAAAAGTTTTATTGGCACGTAATTTATATATCATACATTGAATAGTTCAGTTGTTCAATTATATCAAGGAGAATTGTACAATCACCACCACATCTATCTTAGAGCATTACAAAGGTTAAATCACTTTTAAAATGAATTAAGCAATCGAGATCAGTTCTAGTACTCTTCCCCCCTTGTATTAGTCTGGGCTTTGGAGAAACAAATCCACAGCGACTCATGTATAAGAGAGAGTTTTATGTAAAGAAAATGTGCATCACGAAAACATCCCAACCCAATGCTGCCCAAGCCCACAAG